TATATATATATATATATATATATATATATATATATATATATATCATTCCTATATTTTCAATTGATAATTACATATTCATATTCATATTGCAATATTTAGAAAAATGGCATCCTATAATTTATTTGTTTTATTGTTAGATAAATTTGTTGAAAGTTTATCAAATATGAACTACAACTCACATTATTAAACAAATTTAACATATTATGGTTTTATACTGTCTTTCAAATGATAGTTGTTGTTGTTTTTTTTTCACGAAGGTATTTTGAATGATAGTTAAAGAGCTAAAAATAGTTATTTAACTAATAGTTACAGTATTTGATTCGAACGTATATATCTTTGTCTGCATTTCTTAAGAAATAAAACCATGGAAATTTTCAATTAAAAAAATTAATAAATATAGTAGTTAATATATTATTTTAGTATTTTATTTTATTAAATAATTTCATTTAAACATAACAGGTATATTGAAAACATTCATTACCTTACTAACAAAGTCGGCCACAATTATTAGTGTGTGCTGTTCAAATGACTCTTTTTGTAAAAGAAATTTTATTTCAATGACTTTTACGTTTCAAAATAATAATTTATAACTATTGACTAAAAAGTACCTTAATAAGTTAAGTTGAAAAAACAACTAATTACCTAAAATAACACTAGTTGGACAAACAGGGAAAATCATCCTCATCAATGCATACTCATCAAATGTTTTATCCCGCATAATGACATTTCGATTGTTTAAATATAATTAGATTAAAAAAATTAATTAATATATTGAGTTTAAGATTTATAAATGAAAAAATGGACTGAAAGAAAATATTTGATTGAAAATAATTAGTTAATTTTATTATTGAAAATAATTTATAGCTAAAATATAAATACTTTGCACCGATAATTATTAAAAGAAAAACATTTTGATTGTTAGCTTTTATTATACCAAAATAAATAAATTGTTAGTATTTATCGAAAGAGAGATGTCACCTACTAGTGATAGAAAGTGTTGCTTCGCCTTTAATCGTAGCATTCAATGAAGGGAATACAAGTGAATAAGATTAGTTGAGAAAACTATAATTTTGTGCTAAACAAAAAAATGTGGAAGGTTGTCAGAGAAGGCCTATGGTTATTGGGTAGGCGTGGTCACTACTAACTCTATAATCTATGCACTTCAAGAAATATTTCTAGCTATCTATTATTTTCGTTTAATTAAATTTACGATATAAAGTAAAATAAATAACAACACACTTTATCACATACTTTTTCTAACAAATTTATTACATTAGAAATGAGAAAAAAATTGATTTTTAATAAATTTTTAATGTTTAATCAATAATAAAGAACGTGTTCAAAAAGTGTTTTGTTTAACATTTATCTCTTTCTAAGAAAAAAATCGTGTATGTCAATCTAAAATATAAATAAACTTTATAACTATTCATAAGATATCTTTTATTTAATTGATATTCTATTTTTTTATAACCATTTTTTATTCTTGTTATCAAGCATTAATAAATATTAGTTTTAAAAAATAAGTTTTTAAAATAAAAGTAGATAAAATTAAAAGTAACATGAAATAAAATTAGTTTATATATATATATATATATATATATATATATATATATATATACTGCGAAGATGATATCGGGCACGCGCTACGCGATGTCAGCTCGGCATTTAAGCAGATCATAACTGATCTCAAGGGATCTCGCTCCAGACAAGATCCACTATCTAATCTTATCTCAGGCCCAAAGCCCAAAGCAACCCTAATTCACACTAAGGTACGTGCATTACTTATACGAGATTCATATTCTCACAAACACTAACTTTAGCATCAGAGTCTCTTTTGCAGGTACCACCCCCATCTTGGAACACAAGCGTACCAGTGAAGGAGGCTCACCGATCTTACCTGGCAGATCAGCTCTACAGCAGATTTCTGGTAAGAACATTTGGCGCCCACCGTGGGACCGATCAAGACAGCTCTTATCGGCCACGCTTGTGGTTTTCACCAGAAGTCATAGCAGACGCGTAACAGACGACCTAGATCACACCACTAACATGGAAAACAAAGCAGCATTAAGACGA